TGTGCGGAAAATTTTGTGTGAAAAATTAGGCCCCGATAGACCCCTCTCAAAGTTTTTAAATTTCTGTCAGGGCGGGCGTGCCACGTTTTACCTTTGGGAGAAGGAGGGATTTATCCTAAATAATAAAATGTGGAATTTCGATGATGCAGAAATTGTGTATTGGGTTATCGAAGGCCTCATGCCATACATGAGAATCCTGGTACTCAAATTGTGTCCAAATCCAACCAGACAACTTTTAGAAGCGCTTTTTAACCTCAGTGATGCCGCCGACAGAGACCTGATCTACAACCACAAGTTCGATATTACAGCTGAAAAACCTATACCTGCTGAATTTATCTCCTATTTCAGAAATCTCCTATATGAGCACATACTACCATTCTTACTCAAAAATCCAGAACTTGAAGTCATTGAAGACTTTATAGATTCATTACGCATTTCTTTTCCCTTCAATAACCAAGGTTTGACAAAAAACCCTCTAGATTGTCAAATTCAAGGAATTATTGCGGAAAAAGCTCATCCTTCTCAAAAATCCTATAATAATTTCTTCTCTTTCCTACAAGGAACGAAACAACTAAAGCCATCGTCAACGTTTGGATTGCCGTTACCAAAATTTTCATCACCTACTACCATCCAGAATTCGCTAATGTCAAAGTCTGAAAAGTCTTCGCCTGTTCCAGTTAAAGTGGCTAAAACCGCAGAGACTGTGAGGAAAACAAATACATCAAAAGTATGTGGCCGTTTTGATGTCATTACACCTTGGAATTCTAAAGTTTTTCAACAACCGCGAATGTTTGCCAATTTTCAGCCAATGTTAAAACATTCTGCGACACTTTTAAGTGGCATTAATTGCATGTTTAGCTTCAATATGCTACCGTCGCCTGGCTCAATTTTATTACCGAAGTGCGCTTCAGAATTGCGACCTTTTCATCCTTTGTCGATTACGGAAACTGCGTGTCCCACGTCCGAACTTGTGTCACAAAATTCTACGAGCCTCCAGTTCAACTTAACGGAGAGTCCCTCCACTTCATCTCATTTTCCTCGTAAGAATACTGAATTAGTGCGCGAAAAATTACGATCTTTGTTCAAAAAAGTTTCCAGATTTTTCAAAATTGTGCCGCGTAAACGTAACATTAAGTCTCGGGAGTGCCACCTATCCCGGAAATGTAAATTTAAAAGTCACCAGGAAAAGTCCCCGAAACCGCAGCTTTTTGTCAGTTTTTTGCTATCTTGGACTATTATTTACAAAAATTTCAGTGGCTATCGTAAAAAGTGTTATCATCTGGACTTACCAACATCACGAAAACGGAAAAAATGTTTATTTTCTTAATCACTAGAAATTTTCCTTTAATCGTTCTTCTCATCAAACATGTGGAATCCTTATTAAACCTTCTCCAGCTTTTGGGATTCAAAGTTTCATACCAACGCTAATCATCCAAATCAAAATTTGCGTAATTGTGACCAATTATCGAAGAGTCAAACCAATACACCAACAGTGTTCACCCCTGTTGAACCTGTGTTCGCATCTGCCAACAATTACTGATGTGATGAACCTGGCTGCACGATTTCTGTCTGAACTTTTTACCAACTCAATCGACGTATTCCGCATTAGGAACTTCGCATTCTGAGGACCCAAACATCATGAATTGCTGAACCCCAAAAGACTTTCAATTTCGCCATTCTTCAGTGTAAACGCGTTAGTAATTAAGAGAATTTCCTATCATTGACGAGTGATTCAATCGGTATGTAAACACCTTTCTTTTCTATTCGTAGATGTATATCGTAGATGTAGATGCATTCCTTAATGAAAGATAATACGCCTGAAAAATCGAGCTGAACTAGAAGGGGGATTTAATTAAAGAAATACCTTAAATTTATAGTTTAAGAACCTAGATTTAATTAATAATATTCCTCATTAATACGCCAAACGGTGAATAGCCGAAAATATTTCTCTGTAGGGAATTATGTTATTTTGACCCGCTAAAATTACGCCGTACAATTCAATGAATTTGCGAAATGCATTATCTAAAGTTCAAAATTCAACCACTGCTAAAAGTCTTATTATTTAAGTTTATCGTATTCTATTTATAATTATTTTAAGTTTTAATATAAATTAAGTATGCACCAGAACCAGTTGAAAATTGACAACCTTGTTCATATCGTCCGAAATCCATATCCATAAGCAAAAGAAATGTAGGCTGAGCACTGAGCAGTTTCCAATTTCATGTTTGCTCCAGTTCAGCTTCAGCGCAAATTTCGATGTATTCTATTTTTTCGTTTTTTTTTCAAGCAAATTCTCACGACACACAATTTCCTTTTGACGTCCATCCTATGTAAGTGAGAAGTGCAAACACTGTTGCCAAGTTTCAAAAATTTGAAGCACTGAAATTTTTGTGCGACCTTTCCACAATTTGGGGTGATTTTTTTGTATTTATTGTCATGTATTTATTTTCTTTTCAAACCATAATAAGCTTTCCCAACATTTCTCAAATAGTTAAATGTTTGAGGTAGAGTATGTCTGGAAAGGCTATATTCCGGCATCGAGGCAACAAGGTGCTGATTTTTTCTCTCGTTATGCAGCTGCATCTCCTAGCCAACCGAGTCAAGACCATTGCAGACTCAGCATTTTCATTGTTCTGCGCTCACTGTTACCCATCATGTTATATGTCATGTGATACCAACTCGCGACTTCCTCGCGGAGTACTTGTTGGAATCACTGCCGAGTATTTTCCGATCAGCTGATTGTGTCTGGTCAGCGACCCTTCCGCAATTTTTAGTCCCGACGCCGGGGACGGCGTCTGAAGAACTAGGAGGGATGCAATGGATTCGAGCGGTAGAATCCACTAAAAAGTTGGGGAGGAGTCGCTGAGTAGACTCAATCACCTTTAAAACCATATTGCTAAGACGCAGAGTCTGGGTTGCTGCCTGCATGGGAAAAACAAGCATCGCGGTTAGAAACGGTGCTCTGTGTTTCCTGTCCAGACAACAGCTCAGCTGAAAATTGCAAGGATGAGACAAAGTGATGTCATACAGAGTCTTAGCTCCTCGGTTCCCATGTGAACGCAGTCAGCCCGGAAAATCAGAGTCCCGTGTAAGACCCTGATTGGCCCGGAGGATTGGGCCGCAGGGGAGAAGGGAAGCTAAAGCCACGCTACTCGCAATTTTCAGAAAATCTCTGAAATCAGTCTCGTCTTAGCTCACCAGCGATCCTGGCCAGGCCGCGAATCGGCCCGCCACGCCGTGTCTAAACGCACTCCGCGCGGAAGCCGCGTGTAGGTCTGAGAGAGTTTCGAGTGTGGTTCTGATGGTGTTCTGATTCTTTCTGTTCTTAGTGTGATGAGTCTATCGAAAGTATAGAATAAAAGTGTCGTCGAAATTGTCAAGAAGTGTAGTTCGTTTTGTCACTGTGCCCTACCTACTTTTCACTTCGAGGAGCAGCGGAAGGCTCCTCGCCCCTTTTTCCCCAAAAATTCATACTTCCGCTGGTGGAGCTACCCCCCCCCCCTTTTAGAAAGAGATCGAGTGTGTGTGCCTTCTTTCTTTTCTTTCGCGCGTTCCAAATCTTCCAATCATACTGCTTACTTGAAATAAACAATTCAAAGAGGGAGGGAAGGCTAGAGGGAAAATCAATCGCACACACCACGACAAAAAGCTTTATGGGGGAGGAGGGAGGAAGGAATTTTATCATAAAAGGGAGGCAGGAAAAAAATCCTTGGTGTGAATTCGAATCCGTTTATCTACATCATCAAAAGGGAGTAGATACTGCCTCACGCCTTGAGAACGCGAGATAGAAGAAGGACAAATGTATAATGTCCTCTCACTTTTTTTTTGGTAACAGTTAGAGGAAGCAGATAATCTTCGCGAAGATATGACGGTTTAACGTCCGTTTGACTTCCACCTATTTCGCGCAACCGTCTACAAGAAGGGTACTCACTTTGTCGTCTCCCGCATAAAGGAACTTACCTCGTTTGGGCTGTTACAGTACTTTTAGTACATTTGATTTTTTCAGAAAACTGCCTCACAGACTTGTTTGGGTATTTTAAAGTCTTTTCTTACACGTGTTGAGAAAAAAATCCTGACAATAATATTTCAGGCGAATTCATGTGACGGTTCTAAACTAAAAAAATAAATAAGAAAATAAAATTTTAGTAAGAAATCCTTGAAAAGCAATTGAGTTACGTTCCTTCATGCAGGAAACGACAAAGTTTGAATGATAGGTAAAACCAACTTCTTAAAATTGGACTTGAAAACGTAATGGTGAACTAATTTTGAACTTACTGAGATAATGTTGAGGCAAAGTCAGGGGAATTTGGCTTATTTCGCGGGAAAATCGTATGACCTTTGAACCGACGTATTTGGAGGTCCGAACCCCCTCTTAAAATTAGTTTGAAGTGATTTCTGCGATTTTTACGTAAAAGTGCTTACAATGTGGTAAATTTTCCAGTTTTATTTTTTCTTTACGATAATTTGAGCTGGAGTTATGATTTTTTGAAATAGATCAAATTTGACCTTTGACCTATCATAACTGAGTCAAAAATTAAGATATTGATATGCGGTTTACGCCAAAATTCTTAGTTTTTAATGTTCTTTCCAATGATGTATCAAAGGGTTGGGGGTTACCATTTGAAAAACCAAAGTTGGGGGCCTCCCCCCCCCCCCCCCCCCCGAGGGAGGGGCAAAAATTTGAACCCCCCTGGAAAATGGTCCTTTTTAAGATAGAAACATTCCCGAAGTTTCTTTTTTCTGTCTCAGGCCGTTAAAAAGTTAGAGGGGGGGAGCGGGACTTTTGGAACACCCTCTAAACTAAGGTCCACGCAAGGATGTTGCTATCAAGGTGAACCTTCAAAAACAATATATTTAATTCATGCATCTAAGCCATGCAAAGAGGAAAATTCGAAGCGAGAGTCCTGATAAAACGGAAAAATGACCAAATGATAAAAAATGGTAGAATTAGAGAGCAATTAGAATAGTAATGTAAGCATGCAGTGTTAAAATTTCACGACCTCGATAAGCTGGAATGTGTTTATCGACAAAGCAAGAGTTCCTTGTGGACTGGAATGAGATCTGATGATTCAATTCAAGGCATCCTGCACATCAAGTATGGTTAAAATTAGAAGTGCAACCAGTGAGATGACAAAAGGTGGATGCAGATACTGCATACATTGCCACCTTCGAAACAATTTTGCCCGAATAACTTTTTAAAGAAATGCAAGTTAAGGTCAGTGAGCAAATCTGTGGTGTAAAAGAGACAATTGGTCTGCTTCAAACTTCTGTTAGAGGAGAAAAGAGTTGCTTCCTCAGGAAATGGCTTCAAAATCACGATGAGAACCAAAGCAAAATAAAAAAATCATTTCCAATAATTATCTTACTATCTGCTCAATAAATCGCATTATTCCACTTCCCATTTCAACAATATACCAAAGAGCTGGAGAGAAGCATGAGGATCGTGCACTTCCAGGGGAAATCACGGAACTTTGACAAGGCTGCAAGCTTTTGATACAGTCAACTTTAAATTGCTACTCAACAAACTTAAAAAGTTTGGAATCGCAGGTGCTCTTTATTGATGGTTTCAATCCTTATTGGTCGGGAGAACGCAAAGAGTTAGATTAAGAACTTTTACTCATTTGTTATCTATGTTATTTGTGGTCTGGCGTACCACAAGGTTCTCATCTTGCTGCTCTCCTGTTCCTAATTTTTATTAATGACATTGTTAAAATTGTGAAATTCTCTGGATGTTTACTCTTTGCTGATGATTTTAAGCTGTATTCACATATTGTGTCAATTATGATGTCTGCAGGTTGGAACCTGACTTTAATAATGTTGTGAACTGGTTTTCTGTCAATGATTTAGTTGTTCATGTCAAGAAATCAAAATTCGTTATTTTCCCCAATTTTACGCCCCTTCATTTGACTACAGAGTAAATGGCACTTCCATTCATCAATGCTTATCTTTTAAGGACTTAGGGGTAATTTTTTATTCTAAATTGACTTTTGCCGAGAATATAAATTCTTTCGTATCGAGAGCATATAGAACGCTTTACTTCATTCGTAGGAAATCCATGCGCTTCCGTAGTGTTTGGACTTTTGCACGTATCTTTATATGTTGCACTTGTTAGGCCCATCCTGATGTATGCGTCTCAAATATAGTCCCCATCTGTTCAAGTCCTATCGAATAAGCTCGAGGATTTTCAACATCTTTTCCTCAGAATGGCGTCATGCAGAACTGACCTTGCTCTTTCTCACCTTGACCATGATTATGGTGATATCAGAAATTTTTGGCATATTAGTAACCTTAAGTCCGGCCGTAAATTCTGTGACCTCATGTTTCTTTTCAAATTGTTAAATGGGTTTATTGATTGCTCTGATTTAGTGAAGTTGATTAATCTTCACGTTCCTAGTCAGTAGTCAGGTTCTTAGAAGGGGTGGGGCACTCTTCAGCATTTCTCATGATCATAGCAACTACTGTAACCTCTCCCCTATAGTTAGGTTGAGTGTCCTGAGTAGTCGCTGCTATTATTCATGTGATCAGTTTGATGTCCCAATTTCTCATTTTAAGAGCCAGGCCAGGGACGCTTAATATGTGTTCAATTCATTTCAACTAACATCTGTCATCTTATTTGCTTTGTTATTCTCTTTAATTTATGTTGTTTTTATTCTTTTTGTCTTCATCTCACTGTCTTCTCACTACCTTTGCATTGTTGTGTTTTTCGTAATTGGGTTCGCCCATTGAAAATAAATAAAGTAAAAGAAAGTAAAACTTTCAGAGATTTATATCTACCCTCTGAAAACTTGATTTAGAGCTGAGCCCCAAAAATTTAAGTTCCCTGGATAGCGAAGGGCTCCAAACTTTGAATTTTCAGTAACTTCAAAACACTTGATATTGGAGAAATCCAAATTCAAGAAATAACACCAAAGTACCAATGTAAATTGCTCCAAAATAAAATTCCTTTCATTGCCCCCCCCCCCCCCCCAANAAATAATCTATTTATCTCATTATAACATATTTGAAAATTTACTGAAATTCAAATTTAACAAATTTTAACTGGATAACCTATATTGAGCTGATTCTATTTTTCCCCTCCTCCTCCGAAATGTGGAACGGCTAGTATAAACTTAAGTGTAGTGCTAGATTTATTCAGTTATTTAAAATAAAATTGGTGTTCCTGGGCCCTACAAATGGAATGAACATGCTAATTTAAGATTTTTGTTTATGGTGTCCATGAACTGTGAACAGAATGATGCATAATCAATTGCGACACCTTCCTCATAATTTTGAGCGCCCAAAAACATTATGTAGTAAAATATGAAGCTACTTATCGAAGAGTTTTTACATGGGAATCTGTGAATGAAAAGCAGAATAAATTAAGGACCCTGCACACTCCGTATGGGAGGGAATGTGTGTCCTCTTTGATTTCCAATTTGTTATTGACTGAAATTCGCCTATGGATGATGATCAGAAGTCATTATTGCGCCAACTTTTGACAAGCCACCGTTTTCGCACAACCCGCAATGAAGGTCTCAATAATTTCTAGGACAGGCCAGCTGAAATCAAAACGCAGTGCATGCCTGTCTGATAAGGATGATATGATGAGAGAAAGAAACTGAATTATAAATACGTTGAAAGGAAAATGCATGCGGAATCCAAGTTAAGACTGCCGATGCCGCTTAGCTGCTGATCACAATGTACTGAAAAGCGCTGGGGTTTCCCTGTGTACGTTGTTTACATACACTCGACTGACCCGACCCGAGCTCAAGTGCTGAAACGAGGGATCTCTTTGACTTTTTACCGCTGCACTGCCTTCATTTAAGAAAGGAATCAAAACTTCAACTGTGGATTGTGCAAAAACGGTGCCTTTAGGGCGGGAACTGGATAAAATTGTGTAAACAAAGTTTTCTTGGTTGATTTTTGCTCAATGTCACTTACCCACTTATATTTTTTTAAATTTACATCATTTATGGTCCGTCACTGACCGATTAATCTCATTTGGGAGTAACGAACATCTAGGACTGGAACATATGCGATATTATTCCGTTGCCGCTCTTTATTTGAATTTCAAACTTGTCCCGATTTTGCCGCCAAGTGGATGCCGCGAATTAAAAGCCAAGAAGACTAACAATGGTGACAAAGAAGCTAATGTTGCCAACAACCTTAAATCCGAAAAAAGCTGTGGTGAGAAACTTTGATATGTTAGCGCCTTTTCAGCTTCCGCCCTTTTATCAAACGAATGGGTTATTGATTCGGGCTCAAATTCGATGCAGTCAGCATCAGTGGTAAGCCTGATCTGGAAATGCCGAAAGTCAATAGACTTCACAAGTTCCAGGTGAATTGTTCTGAAGTAAGTCCACCTGCGATTTCGTCTGAAACAACTCCGAAATTTGCTATTCTTGCTGTAGATAGGCAAATTTGGCATCATATGCTAGGGCACATGAATGGTCGTTGCCTAAACCGCATGCAGCAACTGTCCACTGGTATTAACTTCCCTAACTTTGGTAATATCCCGTGAAAATGTTGTATCCATGGGGAATTAACCCATAAACCAGCATCAAGGTGCAGAAAAGGTACCCGAGCTACCAGGAAATTGGAAATCGAGCATTTTTAAAATCAAGATATTATGGTCTGACAATGGAACGAAGTGCTGCGACAAACGTTTTGAAGAATTTTTCGAAGAACATGATATCCCCAGCCAAAGAACTATTCCGTACACTACAATTCAAAATGGTGTTTCTGAGCGAACAAATCGCACGATCATCAAAAAAGCTCGTTGCATGCTTTTAGACTCAAAACTTGATGTGAAATTCTGGAAAGAAGCAATGATGTGTGCCATTTATTTCAACAATCGCTCTCCAACAGCTGCTGGCAACAATAAGACATCTGAAGAAGCCTTCACAGGCAAGAGAGTCGACGTGAGTCAGCTCCGAGTTTTTGGCTCAAAAGCATTCAAGCCCATCCCAAAAACTCTAATGAAGAAATTCAACACAAGATGTGAAGAATTCATCATGGCAGGGTAAGTGGAAAACACCTAAGGTCGCTTATTCGACGTTGAGACACCTGGAAAAGACACCTTCGGTATCGAAGTTCAGTCGATTGAAAATTGTGCAGAAAAATTTCAGTCTGAACCTGGTCTAGAACCAGAATCTCATGAATATGCTGAATATGAAATTTCTGACACTGAAGTACCGAAAGTGCCCATGAATTGTGAAAATCTAGTGCGCAAAAATAATGCCAATAATGATGTGCGCAAGAGCCTTGAAATCTAAGATCAGGAGAGTTTGGTTGACGAAGTTTGACGATTTCCGGTCCGTGATCGAAAACCCAAAACTTATCCTGATTTTGTAACGCTATGTGTGGAAGAGACCCCTACATCGTACCAACAAGCCATTAAAAGTGATGACAGCTCCAAATGGCAAGCTGCTATGTGAGAAGAAATCACATCATTGAAAGAAAACTCAACCTGGGTACTTGTTGATAGACTACAGCTTAAAAATATTGTTAAGTGTAAGTAGGTGTTCAAAGTCAAAGAACCGAATTCCAATAACCCAAAATTTAAAGCCAGGCTTGTAACCAAAGGCTTCACACAACATTTTGGCACAGACTACACAGACACTTTCACTCCTGTTATTAGTAAGCCCTCCCTTAGATTGTTGTTTGCATTATCAGCTCAGCTATAGTCCATTTCACAAAACCTGAGACTTTTTCTTCGGCATTGATATCCGTAAATGGCAACGCATCAGTCTCGGACTCTGTGACTGGACCGCTCGCCGGACACCCTCTTTGGTTCAACGACCATAGGCTGGCAACCCGTCCATTGTGAGGGTAGGAACAATGGACACCCTTCATCCCTCCTTAATGAGCCCTAGTACCGGGACCAAAATTCTTTTCTCACTGAATAATTCATTTTATGGCGTGAAAATTTGGTTCCAGCGTGAAATTATGATAAAAACCCACTGAAATTCAGTCCAATTGTCTCAATTTTGAGCTAATATACGACGATTGCGTATGACCGCGATTCGCCTCGAAATACCGTATGTCAGGTTAAAATTGAGATAATTGAACGAAATTTTAGTAAGTTTTTATCATCATTTCAAGT